TGGTCTTAATCATTATTGATGTAAGTTGATACGTAATAAAAATTTGAGATTTCTGAGACGCGGAAAACCAAAACCCATTTTTTTAACTATTAAAAAAACGGCCATTTGGTGACGTCCCTTGTAATAATAAAAAAGATTGCTTGTAAGTTTTTTTTCCCACTATTCTTCTTCTTCTTCCAGTGCCTCTTCAATCCTGAAGGTTGGCCGTTAGCTTCCTGTATGTAGTTCTGTCAGCAGCCAGCCGGAACAGCTATTCGACGGAGGCAATACCGGTCCACTCCCGGAATATCCGGAGCCATGACTTTTTTCTTCGCCCAGCACGTCTCTTTCCGTCCACTTTGCCCATCATTATCAACTGCAGCAGCATGTATCTATTGTTCCTGAGCACGTGGCGAAGATATTCTATCTTGCGCTTTTTGATAGAAGGCAACATTTTCCGTGACATATGAACGCGCTGAAGCACGGTTTCGTTCCTGACCCTCTGCGTCCAACTAATGTGTAACATGCGACGGTAACACCACATCTCGAATGCCTGTAGGCGTCTTGTAGTGTCTTCTTTCAGGGTCCACGTTTCGCAACCATACATGACGATAGGCCAGATATAGCACATAAGTAGCCTGACTCGGAGCTTTATATTCAGTTGACGACAGCAAAGAACTTTCCTCATTTCTCCGGAATCTATCCGGGTCTTGATTTCTTGATCAGATTCCCATGCTTCATTTACCCAAGCCCCCAAATACTTGTACTGTCGTACCCGCTCTAGTTGTTTCCCAGCTACACATATGCTTGAACTCAAATGCGGGTTTCTTGAGACTATCATGAACTTGGTCTTGCTTATGTTTATCGACAAACCGGCTTCCTCGCTATACTCATTAACCTTATTCACAATTGCTTGCAAATCGGCTTCTGATGCTGCAATAAGAATAGTGTCGTCCGCATAACGCAAGTTGTTAACGACCCTGCCGTTGATTCCTATTCCCACTTCAAGGTTTTCAAGAGCTTTTGACATCACAGCCTCTGAGTAGACATTAAAAACAACGGAGATAAGATACACCCCTGCCGGACCCCCATATCTCAACTTGGTCGGTTTCCTCATTTTCGACCCTTATCGTAGCCACCTGCTTCTCGTACAGGTTGCGAATGATTCTGACGTCCTTACCATCAAGACCAATGTCACATAAAAGGCTAAAAAGTTGATGATGTTTAACTCGGTCAAATGCCTTTTCGTAGTCTATGAAGCACAAAAAGACATCAGTTTGCATATCTCTGCATTTCTGTACGAGAACGTTGAGAGCGAAAAGAGCTCTGGTTCCAACACCAGATCGAAATCCAAATTGGTTATCGCCCAGTTGTTCGTCACATTTTGGCCGTATTCTATTCTGTATGATGTTCAAGAATACTTTTAGTACATGGCTCATCAGACTAATCTTACGATACTCTCCACATTTTTTGGCATTTTGCTTCTTGGGTATCGTAATGAATGTGGATTTTAGCCAGTCAGTAGGAAGATTGCCAGTTTCATAGATGTTATTGAAGAACTGTGTGAGAACGTCCAGTTGGTCTTCTTCCAGTAACTTTAGTATTTCGATCGGTATATTATCAGGACCAGGTGATTTACCTGTTTTAGCAGCTTTCAAGGCCCGTAAAACCTCAGATTTCAACATAACTGGACCAGTCCGATCAGTGATCGTTGAAATGTTCCTTGATGAGTCCGCAAACATCTCTGCAACATAATCACACCACACTCTCTTTTTGCCATCGGTGTCAAGAATGAGATTCCCATCTGCATCGGTCAGGGTATTCATTGATTTCCGTCTATGACCAACCATTTCCTTGATGTGCTTGTGCGCATTGAAGCTGTCTTGTTTACGAAGAAGATCTTCCAAGTGCACGCACTTACTGTTGTAGTAATAATTCTTGGCTTTCGCAATCTCTTTTCGAATGGTGACATCGACTTGCTTATACCGTACTGGATTTGTACCCTTAAATTGCCTCCTATCTTCCATAAGCTGCAAAATTGAATCTGTCATCCAATCTTGTTTTTTGACCAGTTGTGATGGTTGGAGATATTGGTGACATATATCTTTTACACTTCGCTTTAGACTAGTCCACGTGTCGAGGTCAGAGTTAGTGGTTTCAGTACGACGATCGTTGGCTCATTGATTAATGGCGGTGTGGACCTTCGCTCGTGTGTCGGGCTCAGCAAGCTTCCGTACGTTTGGCCTTCTATCCATTCTCTTTGGCTGCGACTTCTTCAGCTTGCATGCTACGTCTACCACCACTGGGTTATGATCTGACCCAATGTCTGCACCGGGGTAGGTTTGCGCCTTCTTGATACAGTTTCGATACCTTCTATTGATCATAACATAGTCAATTTGGTTTCTAACTACGCGGTCTACTGTATGCATTGGTGATGTCCATGTGTATAGCCGACGTGGTGGCAGCTTAAAGAAGGTGTTCGTAACTATGAGGTCATTATCCTGGCAAAACTCAATAAGCGTATCACCTCTATCGTTTCTGTTTCCAAGGCCATAAGCACCAGTCGCACCAGGAGTAATGGTCGACCCACCTTCGCATTAATGTCACCCATAACGATAACTAACTCGTGACTCTTAGTAGTTTTTAATAAGGTATCAATAGCCCTATATAATTCCTCTATCTGGCCTATAGGTTTATCCCCTGTGGGCGCAAAACTTGGATAATGTTGATGTTAAATGGTTTGGCTTCTAATTTAATCAACATGGCCCGGTTTGAGAGGGAAACAAAATTTGTAATTGATTTGGAGATTTCCTTTGTGAGAAGAATTCCCACACCATATCTTTCCAATCGTTGGTCTCCTCCTGAATAATACAGGACGTAGTCATCCGATATAAAATTTGTGCCTTGGTCTGGCCATTTGGTATCACTTATGCCAAGAATGTCGACATGCAACCGTTTAATTTCTTTTATAACATTGGGGAGCTTTCCATCTTGTTTTAAACTTCTCACGTTCCAAGTTCCTATTCTAAGAGTTTTCCGCCCGGGGATTCTTAGCACCCCTGTCCCATTTAAGGAACGCCGGGCACTCGGGGCCGTGGCTATATTTGACTTTTCCATGAAACTAACTACTAGGGAATTTAGTGCAGTGGTTTCCCGTTGCCTTCTGCACCAGGCCTTTTTGAGATTATTTAGATCTCAAGGCTGCTGAGGCCTCTTCCAACCAGTTTCCAAATCAGGAGTATGGGTATACGGGTCAGGCCGTAGATTTTGCCACAAATAGCGCAATGGTGTCGCAAAAATTTCTACGAGTCCATAGCGCAGAGTGACGCAAAATGGTAACGCAAAATTGTTAAGGAGTGCATACAAGATATGTAACGTAAAGACAGTGCTACAAAATAAAACACACTTTTAATAGGTAAGTATGACAAACGTCAACTTTTACTCTTATCTTTAAGTCTTAAAAGGTGTTACAAAAAAGCGGAGAGTTCTATTGCTAGAAATACAATTCCTTCACAGGAACTAAAATCAAAACCTCAAAAAGAACACAAATATTACAAAAGCTAAAAAAAACACCTGCAAGCCTATGTGTGTAAGCTCCTATATTTGGTAGCGTAAATTCTACGCCCCTGGTATCGAAAAGTTGCTTAAAGTCATTTTTGCGCAACTGTTGCGCAAACAAAACCCATTATAATTTGATAAATAAGCTAATTTTTAATGTAAATTAAGCCTTGAAAGATGTCAAACATTTCATTAAATCGTGCGCAATAATAAGTATAGATATAAATCAAAAACTTACCGTGATATATCAAAAAACACTCTCCGCAAAAAATATGACACTTCCTTCTTTCAAACGATGTTGATGTTGGACTGAAAAAAATATGACCGCTGACAGCGTATTGACCATAAACAAAGTATGTTCGGTGTTGCCACTACTCAGACTTGAATACTGCTATTTTTTAAACACAACCAAATGGGCATTTATTAGTTGCGCAATAAAAAGTAGCGCAAAGGAATGGATTTTAACGTTTTTCGAAAATGAGTGAAAATTTATGAAATTTCCTAGGTAATAGGAAACGATATTTAAAATGTGGCTAGCTAACTATTATTGTATAGCGTAAAAGCAAACAGACTATCAAAAAGATTTTTATTTTTGATTTTACTGATGCTCAAAGTGCACCTCTACCGGGACGGATAAGCGTATTTTACGAAAAATTCATCGCTTTCTGTAGCAAAATATTTTATAAATTTCTAAGGTTTTGAAGATATTTAAATATATTTATTGATCGCGATTCACCATTTGTGAGGAAATATGATTCTGTTATTGAAAAAAAGGTAATTACCGTACTTTTTTTTTAAATGTGGCGGAGAGTTATGTTATAACTAATGTGGCAAAATTTACGGCCTGACCCATACCGCTATCGCTCGGTCGCCAGAGCCTCGTTCGTTGTCTAGCAGGGAGCACCACGCCATCCCAGGGGCTGGCGCCGCTAGTTATTCTGAGAAGAACGACTAGCGCGGGCGGGTGAGGTTGACACTAGGGCCGGATAGATGTTATGCTCCGTTCTCCCCTTACTCCCCTAATACTAAGTAATAAATGAGTTAACTAAGTAAATAAATTTAATGGGGTCATCAGTTTGATAGATTGTTGCCATCTGCAGAGATGCTGAAGAATATTGTAAAAGCATTTTTCTATTAAAGATCTTGCGAACAACCGAGCTTACCCCAATTTACAATAAGTTTTAAACTTTCTTTTCGTCCTGCCATTTTCTAATGCATGTGTAAACATATTTTTCAGTTCAATATTTACTCGTTTATCTCATATCAGAGGCAGAACTATTGAATAACAACGGAACGATTAACAATATCAACATTACACGGTATTTTTTTATTATAAAAGAGTCACGATTTGTAGAATTTGTATATTTGGTGTATTTTTTTTTGTAATGACGTTTGATTCCAGATGACAATATTTCAAGCCAACATTGACAACTTTTCCCGTGCAGGTTCTGGCAACACTGAATTTAAGTCCAAGACAGTGTCAGCCGATTGCCCGATTTATCCAAAATTAATTATTTTTATTTAAAAAGAGACACATTCCTTTCATAAATTTAGATCATCCGAACTTATTTGAGACAAGAATCCAAACCAAATGAAAAATGGTCCGCAGACTTCGCGAGCCAAGTACTTCAGAAGATGAAATAAATATAGGTGAATATACTATGATTGAACTCCTTTTGTCGATATCTTCGATTGGTTTTGTACTAAAAGGTTACCAAATCACTAACCTGATTTCCAGATACATCACCGCCAAAAAAACATAAACGACATAAACACAAAAAGCATAAGAAACGTAAACTCGAAAATGATTACGAAAGCGACACCTCGATCGATGTTTCGTATGAAGACGCGTTGGATAAATCATTTAAAAGGGTAAAAGCAGACAGAGAAATTCCAGGCACCTCAGCAGCTGATATTTTAAAGGCGCAAGCCATGAAATCCTCGTCAGATTCCAGAAAATCCATTCCTGGGTCTTCTTCAAGCACTCCTCCAAAAGCACCAACAAAAAAGAAGAAAAAGGGGCGAGAGAGTGGCACCTCTAGTGAAGAAGAAAGATGGTTAGATGCTATTAAGTCTGGAAAATTAGAGGAGGTAAATATACAGAGTTAAAGTAAAAGAATTTAGTGGTGTACATGATAATCAATAAATCAAAATTTTGTCTAAGTAATATGAAAGTTGAAAATTTTTCAAAGTCCATTATAAACAATAATTGTTTAAAAGTATAGACTTACCACAATGTTCTTTGACAGTGTATAAATAACTATCTTAATTGCATTCTATTACTAATGATAAGTGCTTGCATACAGGTGGATGAAGAACTGAAAAAAATCAAACCAAAAGACCCTAAAATGATGACAGCCAGGCAGAGAGCTATGTATGAAAGAGGAACTGACAAAGAAACTTGCCCTGGTGGTGAGGTACTATTAGCTTTACCATCAGGCTACAAAGAAAAAGTCATGACAGCAGAAGCTATACAAAAAGCAGCACTTAAATCACAGAAAAGAAAGCAGTTAGCGGATGAAAAGAGAGAGAAGGATAAAAAGAAAACCATGGACAGACTGCTTAAAAAGCAGGAATCCAAAAATTTTAAAAATGCTCAGAAAGGAAAACCAGTTAGAAAACTGGAACCCATGATCCTTTATAAAAATAATAATAATGGAGCAACTCTATCTTTACCACTAGGTATTCCATTTCCAATTGATGCAAAACCTCCTATAGAAGCACCAAAACCAGTGAAATGTGGTATAGAAGGATGCCCTAATATAAAGAAATACAACTGTTCTAAAAGTGGGATCCCATTATGTAGTCTGGAATGTTATAAGAAAAGTTATATGGCTTTAATTACATAAAATTTGATACATAATTACCTTTTTATTTCCATCAGTATCATAGTAAATAACAGTCTTAGTAATATGGTGGGCTGTTTCTGCAACTCAGCAAAATGTGCCTATTTTGCAAGAGCAAAAGCATCATCAATAGTCGGTCCTGCCATCCCAGCTCCTCCAGAAATCCAGGGAACTGTGGCCCGGATGTTGCTGCTTGCTTCTACTAGTAACCATGAATTTCCCAATAGTGAATTGAGTGAGTTCTGCTCAATATTTATCATGTTATCATTGACAACGCTCCCTTATTCAAGTCCTCAGCTGTCAAAAAATTATTTGTATAATGTGCTCTGGACCAATAGCCGTTCTGCTGGAACCTTTGCTGGCTAGGCAGTCTGCCGCATCATTGCCCCTTGAGCCACTGTATCCTTTAATCCATTGTAAGATCAGCACATTATTACTACATATGTTAGTCAACTTACAGTGGCATTCGTAGATAAGTCATTATATGTTCTCCAGTGCCTACAGGCATCTTTACATGCCATTACTTTGTTACTGAACTTCCTAGCTCGCTGTCTGAGTCTCGGTGGGTCAGTTGTCTTCTTGGGTTTGTCCTGATCTGGATTCCCAGTCCTGTCCACTGCCTTCCGATTTTTACGTCGGTAGGTAGCGACCTGCCGACTTGTCGCGTCCTGTGGTTGTTGTCTGACACCAGGATGCCCCTTCACTAGGTCTTCTAATACACGGGACGTAAATAGTAAGTCTAGGTATGTCTCTGTCAGCCTGAATCCGGGTTTCCCCTTCACCTGGTAATCTGACTGTCTATCTGTCTTGATCTGCCTGCCACTGGGTTTCCCCTTCACCAGGTTTTCAGACGAAGTTGTTGTCAAATTATTTTGGGATCTGTTTTGTTCCATTTCTACATGTCAGTGAAATTTCATCATCACCAGTCCCACCCGCCACGGAGCCACAACTGGGAGGCCGATATCAAAAATCAAGGAACCAGGATTGTGCTGAGGATATAGGGACACGGGGATTTCCTCCCTTTTTTTGTTAACGCAGGCAAAACCTCTGTTTACAGACGACGGCGCTTTTAAGAGGCACACCGCCAAACGGACCTCACACCTGGCTCCCGCAAGCTTTACGATTCCTCCCTGCGTGACATTGGTAAATGCAGTTACATGGTTAGTAGTTGGCACCAACTACCAGTGGTTCCATGCAACCTCGCTTCCTCAGCATGACTGGAGTCCATCGCTAGATGATATTTGGGGATATTGCCTGGTTGTTTCGGTTACGTCTGTTTCATAGGGAATCAGACCAAGAACAGGCGATAACCACGTGAAGGAATACGGCCAGGTTTGTCTGGGGGGATCTACACGACTTGCGCTCACTCCCCAAACAATGTGAAAGATTACCAAGCGGAACACTGAATGCTAAACAAGGTGATATTTTAGGTTAAGCCATTACTAAGCTATACACAAACCTGACACATCCCCCGCCTATACCAGTCTAGACTAGCGTAATTGCACATTGGTAATGTGTTTAAAACACGTTGCTGAACAATTCATTATCCATCCAGGAGGCAGATGTTTGTGTGATGAATACGAGCATTTGTACTCCAGTCATGGGTGTTTCATATGTATTTCTATATAAATATGATTATACAATTTACTGTTTAAGTATAGCATCCCATAACACAAGCCTTACAGTGCTTACTTTGGGGCTAGGCTAATTGGTGTGTGTTGGAAATATTTACTTATTTATTATTATTATTTATTTGTTTGTTACTCAATCATGCTTAAATCAATAAAAAAAATGCTAAACATATTTGGATGAATTATGATGATGATGCTTTTTCAATGATGTCTTGGCTTGGGCAGTCGCTAAATTTCAATAAAACAACACCAGGCAGCTATACAGTGAGTGTATAATTTTGATGAACAATTAGTTGTAGTAGATACATTATAACAAATTTAATAAAATATAACGATTATAAAAAGAAGTGAGAGGATTTTTACTTAGAAACTTCACAGATATTTACAGTTAAAAAAAGACTAATTATTACAATGGTGCCAATTCTGGCGTGATTCTCTAAACTTAAAACTAAATTTAACATCAGTCTCTCCTTTTCATTCTGTATAGAGAATGACAAGGATATATTGCTGTCAAATTTAAGTTTAGGTTTAGAGAATCATGCTAGAATCGACACCACTGTGGTGTTAAAATTGTAGGAACCATTTTTTAACATTCTTTGCGTCAGATATAGGTTGAGGCAAGTTTAAAAATGTGGCCTTTAATGAGTCATAAAGGAAATACTAATTCATAGTAATAAAATACACTTAATTAAGGAAAATAAAAGTTAATATATGTATGTGATCACCTCTCCCTTATGGCATTGTAGTTACTATTCATTATTTCTAAAAATATTAGCCTCCCAAATTGTTACACTTCAAATTTCAGTAATATAAAATATGTAGCTGATTCGAACCATAAATATCAGACTAGATCATGACAATCGGACTGTAAACCATTCAGAATGGGATTCAACTATTCACTAATATTACACTGACACAATTTAGGTAAGCATTTTCTTTCTACACTCCCTGCTTTAATACTTACTATATTTTACTAACATGATAAATCACTTTGGAATTTTTTCCACAGCATCATTTATAAACTTGATTAGACATTGAAATGAGATGAAAAAAAGTTTTAAACAACATCAATTTGGCAACTGCTTGAGCCATGTAACATTATCATTTAAGCATATTATTAATAATTAATGTACCACAGTGAATGTGTACAATTAAAAAAATTTCTTAAATCTATAATAATACATTATTAATTTGTAACTATCATATTATAATACAGCAATATATTTTACACAACAAGTAGGTACAGAAATCGGAAAATGTTTTTAGTATAGTTCTAAAGTCAATTCTATTTTACAGTTCGAGTCTTAAATTCATAATTACAAGATAGATGAAATCTTTGTGAAGTAAAAAAATTACTGATTGTCAAATCATGCCTTACATTTTTGTAATATCTGTCATTAGATGCACTATTAACTACCTTGTCACAAACATCCACTAAACACAAAATGGATATGTTTACACAGAATAGTAGTCCATCTCTTAAATTCTCCAGCTTCTGAATCATAAATGCTTTCTTATTCCACATTAAAAGACCTACCAGCATACCAAAGAGAGCTCACAGAAGGAGAAACCCATATAGATTAGGGCATGGGCACAGCTCATTGATTTCTACAGACCCAAGCATGGTAGCCAACAGAATGGCATAAAGAAACCAGCTTGGTATCAGACATTTGTCCGTTTAGAGCTCCGAAGGCGCGCCAAGCCTGACTGTAACCGCTAAGATTGGTTATTCTGCTTGTTTGATCGAAGTCGAGCCAAGCCAGAGCGCTCTTCCTCTTCATCACTGGTACAAGAAAGCCCTCCTACTGCACCGCGAGATGATGTTGCTTGTATTAGATCTTGATCAGGACCATTTCTGCTTTCATACAATAAAATTCCCAATGTTTCTTCATAAATTCTAGCTTCTGGAAACTCAACTTTTGTGTGTTTCTTATCAGTTGCATATACAATAGATGTGCAACAAACCTCTGCACATTTTTTCCCATGCCCAAAGAATGACCAGCAGCATATCTCATTAGAACCAATGACATCTTTTATGAACAGAACCCTGCCACTGAATCTTAATGATAATTTATCAAAGAGCTCAATGTTCTTAAGTAAGTTGTCATCAGATGTGCTGGTGTAAGAATATTTATTATTGTGTCTATTTATAAGCAGTTTCACCACAGGCTGTAAAAGAAAATTTAGTTACCATTAAACTTTTTTTAAGGAACACATTTTAGCAAAACAACTGACAATATTATTATCACTGAAAGACAACAAAAGTCTACCTTTGAAGTGGACATAATAAGCAACTGTTCTTCCTTATGGGAAGTAATCAAAGGAACCCTACATATGGGTTCTGCCTCTCGTTCTTTTTTCGCAAGGGCTTGTTGGCAAGAATCTGTAAGTTCTTCAATCAAAAAATATTTGGCTTCAGCCAGCAACTCCATTACTTCACGATAGCTGTCTGGCAATGCAACTGTACCATCTCGGAGGTAGTTCAAAATTGTGCCAAAATGTTTACCACACCGGTCAATCAGGATCCAACCTAAAATAACACAAAAACTTTAAACCTCTTTACTTTCCATTTAATTACTGAGATGTACTCTACATTGACCAAAACAAAACAACCTCCGTTATCATATTCAACAAATTAATAACAAGATGTGATGACAGCAATAAATAAGATAAAGAATAAAACAAGAAAGCTCCTGAACATATAAAGAATTTTCAAGTACCTTCGGAATCTGTGAGAACTTCCATCCTGCCGCTGAACATTGTTCTAAGCATGGTGTCACTTTTAGTTAATGTTCCAATGGTGGTATAAAAAAGAGTACCGCCGACGTTTAGTTTAACATACTGCGATGGACTTCCTTTTATCAGAGTTTTGTGGTCGCCCGACATTTTATAAATCTACAGCAACAAGCTGTGCGAATCACTGCTCGAAACTATTAAGTTGAAAAGTGTTAATTCATCGAAAGAATATAGGTTAAATTGAAGGACAAAAATGAATTAACTATCACATCTACTACGATAAAAACACTCGTTTTTAAGAAATATGGATTTTCTTCATATCCAATTTTTATTGGTTTTGTACCACAGATCACTATACATGTAGCAAGCTATTTTGTACTTTTTTTTTTTTATTCATGACCTGGATACAGAGTCCTTCAGTCGAATACATTGTGGGTTACAAAATATTTTTAAATTAAAACTTAAGTAGATAAGTGTCCTTCAAAGGAGAGCAAGAATTGAAATACTTAAAATTACAAAAAATAACATTAAGTTTTTTAAATTGAAAATTTTTGGTGTAAATGCTAATAATAATAAAGTTATATTTAAATGTAATTACAATCTAAGCAGTACAAATCAATTAAAACAGAAATATTTACACTTACAAAAATAGTTACAATGTATTCCTTAAACTAAATATTCTGTACAGTATTTTCTATTAATTTAAACAGTGGTTTATAAAAGTCTGAATTGTTTAGTAATTCCTGAACGTGGCGGGGGAAACTGTTTTGACTTTGCTCACAGATGTCACTAATGCAGTGTTCCCACAATGAGGGGAAATTCCCCTTTTAAGGGGAAATTAGGGTCCAGAGGGGAAGAAAAAGGGGAAAGATATGAAAGAAAAAGAAAGGGAAACTGCGGGGAATTATGGGTAAAGCTTAGCCTAAAATAATGCGGCACGGAACAAAATTTTTATGGACTTATCCGTGGACTAGAGTATTGCCGTATAAAAGAAACTGTGTCAACACGTACAGATTAAGACCTTTTTTTTCTTTAGTTACTACACTAGTGCCAAATCTAAAAACTACAGCAGAATAATTTTTGAGGGGAAAAATGTCCTAAGAAGGGGAAATCTGAATTGAGGCATGGGGAAAGGAAATCATTAAAGTGGAAACACTGCACTGATGTCATTGATGAAGATATGAGCCGTTGAATGTGGAAACTGGGACAGTTGAATATAATGTGCTGAAGATCTGCATTTTCTTGATTACAGTGGAGACATCTTGAGTGGTTATAAATATTTATTCTGTGCAGATGTGCTGGCATGAGGCAGTGTCCAAAGCGCATACGTGTAATAGTGGTAATGAATTTTCTGTTAGAGTACTTCACTCTGGAACACCATGGCATTGTAGGTAGGTGTTTTTGAATGTTTGCATAGGTTTGCATACCATTTGCCTTTCGTTTGTAATGTATTTTGCCAGTAGGATTGCCAAAGCTGTCTTGAAATTTCTTTAAAGTGACTGTAGAAGTCTGTAAATGGAATGTTCAGTATGTGGGTATGATCTTCATCCTGCTCTATATGTGTGAGGCTATCTGCTATTTCATTACCTTCTATGCCACTGTGGGAGGGAACCCAAAGAAATTGTACTTCTATTCCTTTCCTATTTAGTTGTTCTATTAATTGAACTACATTACACAGTATATGACTTGTTTTATAAGATGAAATTCCATTAACTAAGGCAGATAATACACTTTTTGAATCGGTTACTACTACAATATTTACATTATTTACAAGGTTATTTACATAAGTTAGAGCTTGCTGTATAGCATAGCTTTCTGCTGTAAATATACTACAGTGTTCATTAATTTTGATACATTTAGAGTAACCAGGCTGGGGATCATAATAGGCTGATTTGACATTATTATTGTCTTTAGAACCATCAGTATAAATAAAGTAATAATTCATATAGCTGTGCTTAAATTCTAAAAAGTCGTTGTTATTAAAAATATTGTTCAAATGGTAATTAAGTGAATCAACATTTATTAAACTTTTAAATGGGCATGTATATATTGGCCACATTTCACTGTTATGAATTCCATAACAGTTGTTTTTTACATGAGTGAATATTGTTATCATTTCAGGATTATTGAGCAGAGAATCAACAGTAATAGATAGATTGTAAAAGTTGTGACATTTGATTGAACTTTTCTGTAAGGTTATTATTAGAAGATAAAACCTTAAGATTGAATTTCATAGCTAATTGCAGTCGTCTCAAGAACAATGAAGGTATACATGTTTCAATTTCTAATGAGTTTATAGGAGTAGATCTCATTGCTCCACAGATTAACCTCAGGCCTATATTTTGAATTATGTCTAACTTCTTAAGCAGTGTGCTACTGGCATTCTTATAAGCAAAACTGCTATAGTCAAAATGGCTACGGACTATGCTTTTGTACAGCATACTAATGGTCTGAGGATCTGAACCCCAAAAAGTTCCAGCTAAATATCTTAGAACAGTTACTGCTCTTAAAGCTTTTGTACTAATGTGATCAATATGTTTGTCAAATTTTAGATGGTTATCAATGATGACTCCTAAAAATTTATGTTAACTGACAATAGGAATCTCTATATTATTGTATGAATTTTTTATATCACAATTAGTTTTACTGAAAATTAAAACAGAACTCTTTTCTGAACTTATATCTAATTTAAGCTTGTTGTTGTAATAGTATTGTAACTGCTCTAAGGCATTGTTAATGTTGTTTTGTGCAATATTTATATTTTGATTGGTACTGTACAAAAGCAATTCATCAGCAAATTGCAATATATTCACATTTTCTATATTTACATACTTTAAAATTTCTGAAGTATACAAGTTATATAATAAAGGAGATACAGTGGCTCCCTGCATTGTGCCCTTATTGGCAATCTTGGGACCATATAATTTATTATTGAATTTCACATACACTGTTCTTTTAGTTAGAAACTTATAGAGCCATTTTATTGTTTTTAGTGGTATATTACTGTTGTGCAATACTTGTACAAGAACTTCAATATTAACATTGTCGAAAGCACCCTTGACATCTAAGAAAACACAGATCATGTTAGAATGACTGAGTTTGACTTGTTTAATATCATGAACAAATGATACAAAGCTTTCAGAGCAACTCTTACCCTTTCTAAACCCATGTTGGATTGGAGGAATCAACTTGTTGGTTTCTGAAAAGTAATCTAGTCGGAACTTTAACATATTTTCAAATAATTTCCCTAAACAAGATGATAATGATATAGGTCTATAAGAGGAAGTAATACCATGTGTTTTATTTGGCTTTAAAATCGGAATTACACATTGTGTTTTCCAAGATTCTGGTATAATGCAATATTCCCAAAGTTTATTGTAGATGTTTAAAAGAATGTTAAGTGCATTAGGGTGTAACTTTTTAATTAACATATAAGGTATATTATCCAGTCCTGGTGTGGTATCTTTCCTACTTTTTAATGATTTGATAAGTTCAAAAATAGTATATGGTTCATTAAGAAATGTATGTACAGTGTTTTCCTCAAGCAAGTTTAAAAGTCTTTCCTCGTTGGTTTCAGTTGAGTCAGATAAATTATTTAAAAATTCTGGAACCCATTGATCATCGAAATGCTTGTTAGAGTTATCTACCCTTTTAAACTTTTTTATATAATTCCATATTCTGGAGACAGGTGTTAATCTATTAAAACTACTGCATAGCACTTTCCAAGACTCTTTTTTTCCTGTTTAATAATTAGTTTTTTATGGGCATCCATTCTCTTATCTTTATATATATAATTCTTCTGTGAGTGTGTATGTCACTGAACTTCTCTTAAACAACTGGACCGATTTTGATGAAATCTTTTGTGTGTGTTCAAGGGGATCTGAGAATGGTTTAGATTCACAATTTTGTCCGCTGGACAACCCCTATTTTTTAGGGCGGTACGAAGTTCGCTGGGTCAGCTAGTACTCTATAAAGTTAGAAATAGATGGATTTAATTTATACATCCACAAAGCTTCTTTAGATTTTTTAATAGCATCCTCACAATTTTTGTTCCACCAAGGAGCTGGTTTCCTTAACATTTTTTGATTAGGTGTTCCCTTTCGTTTCGGTATTGTTTGGTCCCTTATATTATTTAATATATTTACAAATTTGATATACAACTGTAACGGCTGATCATTTTCAATATTTAATTCGGAAAAAGCTATTTCTGAAAGTGTATAATATTCATCCCAATTTGCTTTGCTATAAATATATTTTTCTTCAACAGGACCAATTTCAAACTGTGATGGCTGGATATTCAAATAAAGAGAAATTGGGAAGTGATAACTGCCCATGGGATCGTCTTGTACACACCAATCACATAAATGAGCAATGGAGGGGCTCACAAGTGTTATATCTATTGCAGAGGGCTGTCTATTGGGATGTGGAAAAGTAGTTGGAGTGCCATTGTTCAAGATGCATAAATCAAACTCATCTATTATATCAAATAAGCTATTATCTCTGCTATTACTACTCTGACACCCAAAAGCTACATGATGAGCATTAAAGTCACCCATGATTATACATGGTTTGGGTAAATTCTGTATAATGTTTTTTTATTTGCTGCTATTGAATCTCCCATTGTTGGGTGGACAATAAACACATAAAATAGATATATCACCAGATTGCGTTTTTAAAGTTATGGCTATGTTCTGAATAGACTCGTAAAAAGTTGTGTTTAAAATACTGTATTTTAAACTATATTTAATTAAAATTCCGACACCATAACATTTATTTTTAGAATTCTTAAATATAAAATTATAGTTAGGAAATCTTGGAGGATGTCTATTTTTTGTTAGCCAGGTTTCATTAAGTAAACAAATGTCAATATTTTTTTCCAAAATGAGCTTTTGAAGTAAGGTTTTTTTGCTCTGTAAACTTTGTATATTGTACTGAATTATATGCAAATAATTATCCATTAAATTAAATTTGACAAAAATATATCTTTTATTTTCTTAGATGTTAAGGGGGCTTTACCATTGTTGTTGCCTAGAGCTACAAGGGATTTGACTATGGCATTAAGTATTATTTCATTATTAGCGATTAGGTTGAGATCAAAGTGGTCATTATTTCTCTTATAAATTGGTGGGTAAGATTTCATATCATTTATAGCTGGGAGAGAACTCACCACAGCGGCATAGTTTTGCTGAGTATATTTAAAACGTTTCTCTTCTATCTTCTGCTTCTTTAATGGACAGTCCCTTGAAATGGCCAAGTGATTGCCACTACAATTTATGCAGACAATTTCTTCCACATCACATTCTTTGTAGAAATGTTGACCAGCGCAAGATGAGCACATTTGGGTACTTCTGCAAACTTTAGCCGGGTGATTGAATTTTAGACATTTGAAACATTGTAGTAGCGGGGGTATATACTGGTGTACTTTATTTCTAAAAAGTTGTATATAGGCATATTTAGGCAGGCAGGTTGTTGCAAAAGTTACTGCAACTGTGGTTAAAGGTGTGAGTGTGTTGTCCAATTTTTTCATGAAGCGCTTAATGGATATTACTTCTGCATCACAAACTAAGTTTTTATATATATCTTCATTTGTCATGTAGGAACAAACTTTAGTACACCAATATTTTCCGTTAGATGAGACGGGATGAAGGCCTTCATTTTATTAATAGATAAAAAGTCGTCCTGTTTCAAAAAATAGTTAGCGGAGGATGCTTTTTTAAAAGTCACCCCAATTTTATGAGCGTTCACACGATGAACCCCTACTATATCTGTAACTTATGTGAAATAGGGTTTCGATTTCCTATTTTGTCTTGCTCAGTGGATACCACATAAACGACAAACTCATTTGTGCTGTTATCTAAGAAAAGACGTTTATAATTGGGTTTGATAAAAACATTGTACTTTTCATTTTCTTTCTTTCTCGAATTATTAGAAATATCATTATACTTCCTTTTCCTCTTCTCTGCAGGATCTTCCCCATCACTCTGGGCACCCATCTCCAATCCCTAGCAGTTTTTCGTTGTTTTTGTGCGCAGAAAGGCTAATTAAATTTTAAATTTAATTATGAGGAAAATTAAAAGCTCCCGCTCAGTTTGACTTCCCGCCAAAAAGTCCTATTTTGTACTTTTTTTTTGTTGAAGTTCTCGCGTTTTAGGGAAGGCAAAGGGAACAATGCCCATACAGCCTGGTCTTTAATAAAATTAATCTTTTTGTTTTTACATTAGAATGTCAGTGTGACGCATTCTAATGTTTCTTGGAGTGTTTGGCACGAAACGTATCGAGTTGGCTTTTTCGATAAGCTTCTGTGAGGTAGTCAACACTACAATAAAATTCTCACGTCCACTTGACCGGAATAGCGTGTATTTTAACGATTCCACTAATTCTTCAGTTACGCAGATGGTTGTTACACAAAACCACACCAATTTTATTTCACAGTATCCACTATGAACGAATTTAAGAATAATTAAAATAAGACGCCAAGCGCACTCGATGAAATCCCGCCAAAAACTCCCTATTTTGTACTATAGGTCCAGTGTTGCCAGGTCCGATTTTTAAAAATCGGGTGGTATTATAGAAAAAAACAGTTGATGTAAGGAAAGAGCTACAAAAAAAACAGTAGATTAGATGCAGAGGCGTACTTTTTGCGATTTGCAGGTTGCCTGCTGCCACTATGGCCACCCTGCTTTAACTACACTGTTTATTTCTCGCGCTTGTTTTCTGAGTCTGAATCTGAATCTGAGTGCACTCTGGCCTCAGGGTGCGGCCAGAGTGCACTCAGATTCAGAGTCAGATTCAGATTCTGAAAACAAGTGCGAGAAATAAACAGTGTAGTCGAAGGGTACGGCCAGATTGCACTCCTGATTCAGATTCAGATTCAGACTCAGAAAACAAAGCGCGAGAAAAAGCAGGCAACCTGCTTAGACTACTCTGTTTATTTCTCGCGCTTATTTTCAGAATCTGAATCTGACTCTGAATCTGAGTGCACTCTGGCCGCACCCTCAGAGTGCACTCAGATTCAGAATCAGATTCAGATTTCGAAAACAAGCGCGAGAAATAAACAGTGTAGTCTAAGCAGGTTGCCTGCTTTTTCTCGCGCTTTGTTTTCTGAGTCTGAATCTGAATCTGAATCAGGAGTGCACTCTGGCCGTACCCTTCGATTACAGTGTTTATTTCTCGCGCTTGTTTTCGGAATCTGAATCTGAGTGCACTCTGGCCGTATCCGTACCCTTCGACTACACTGTTTATTTTTCGCGCTTGTTTTGGGAATCTGAATCTGAATCTGAGTGCACTCTGGCCGTACCCGTACTCTAAGAGAATAGTAGGCCATTCACGTTACCTTCAAACAGATTATCGGTCGTACCGTCGCAACCATAGATAATTACCATGTCTATGGCCGCAACGACCACCCGACCCGTTATCGACCATTTTTACCAAACGGACGTGGCACAAAACAGTTTGGTGTACAAAACAGTTTGCTTTATTACATAAATGATGTTTCCTCCGTTTTCTCGCAAATGTGTTGAAAACGTTGTATGACATTCATGCGGATTGGTATTTATAAACTCGTGACTATGGTAAGCCTTCGACTAGTACTCGTTTTGTAATAACCATTTTTTTAAATTGTTTATACATATTTACACAACGTTGCAAGGCAAAATATCATTAAATATAATTTCTAAACGTCTAAAGACACATCATTTTATTACTGAACGCCTGCAGCGTTCCGACCTCTTTGCTTGCGTGCCTACAGCTGGCAGTTATATAAAAACAAACAGAGATATTTAAATATTAAAATTCGAGAATATTTTGTCTGGCATTGATATTTCCAGATAAAAAACCTTCACAGACACTATAGATTGAATCACAGGATTGAATGATATAAGATTGTATTTTTTATCCTGAGATTCAAATAAATACCGTTATCTATGGTTACGACGGTACGACGTTAAAGTTCAGTGAAGATTATTTCATTTAATAATAAAGCTACGCTCCCCGAGTTTCCCTTCTGGAACCCTTACAGTACCTACCTATTTAAAATCTTTCATAACAACAATAAAAAAAAATAGTATGCACACATTTGAAGTGAAACTTCTTTTCATAAATGGGTCATTCTACTTTTGAAGAAGGAAAAATTTTAAAATAAAAATCTCGTTATTCTTGAATTATTTTGGGTTTATTATATTAATCAACAGAAACAATAAACATTATAATTAGACACAGAGATCGTTTCTCAGTAATTTCCGAGAAAACGACGAAAATTAAAAATAAGTGGCTAACAGGAATGACGCTACACTTTACAGATATGACGTTATTCTGTATTTATAGTTTTAAACAACAATTAAATTAAATAATTATACGTTTAAAGTATAGATTCAAAAGGCAAATTAATCAAAATTAAATATAATTGAAATCAGATGGAACTATCAAAACGTAAAAATAAAAAATATTTTTATCACGGAAATGACGTCACAGCCCTTATCACTTAACTGTGCGAAACTTATTAGCAATAAAAATCCTCTGTTTAGTTTCTTAGCTCTCCTTAATCGTATTAACACCCCTATGGATAAATGAATATATCTGAAATCAACAATTAATCAACAAATTCAAACAAATAATGTATGAAATCAACATAATAATATATATAAATGTAATTTTTGAGATCAGCGTAGAAAAATTCAAAATATATTTTCATCAGATGAACTTGATGACTCGATACGCATGAAACGTTTCTTTTTATTTCGTTTTTTCTCAAATGTTGAAGAATTTATTGTTGCATCTATAAACTGTTTCCTCTTTAAGTCTCTATCGAAGCTGTCATCTGAAGAGCATGATTTGTAATAGAAGTTTCTGCTTCGTTCTGATAAAACTGCTACCGTTACAGGTGGATTTTCATCATCTGAATCGTCAAACCATGTCGGATTTTCACCATCGGCATTTGTAGTATAGACACTTTTCTGTGGGGACTGATGGAACTGCCTAGATAGACTGGAATCACAATCAGAATCAGCAGTATCGCTAACTCTTTGCTGTACTGTAAACGAATATATTGCAGGAGAACAGCGTTCTGGTGACGAATGACATGAATCGACATCTGTAACTGTACACTCACTGTGTGGGGGTGACGAAGGAAGAACTTCTTTAGTTGTTTTTTCAGATACAGTATTAGGGGGTGAGGAAGGAATACTACTTTCGAATCTGTTATGAACAGTCTCCGTGCTAATCACACCTATTTCATAATGAGGACAGATTTGATGGGGACGGCAATCCATACAACTTAACTTTCGAGCGTGAAGAAGTCCTGGGTTATTTTTACTCCAAGTTATTTGATGCACATTCAGTGTGCTTTAAATGTAGGAGTCAAACTTCTTGCCATCAACTCCTCTATTTCCGTAATGTTTTCTTCATCAACTGAAAGAATTTGGACTCCTCTGCAATTTTCATTCAAACACGTGATAAGTTGCTCAAAGTTAGCTATATCATTACCCCTAGCTACTGATTGGTCTGCGGTTCTTTTTACTATTGCACCAATTCCGTCAGGTGAACCTTTGCCGTGGCCAGCTTCATTATAGTGCCATACAAGGCTTTGAACATTTAATTTCACTGCTAGGAAATTAGCCATTAAGAAAAACATGGATTTATTTCTATATTGAGAAGATGGTCCATCGCTGACAAAATGCATTGTTTTTAGGTTAGGATGTAAATCCTTAATAATTTTACTTATTGGTTTTAAATGATTGCAGATAAAAACCGGGTCATGTCTTAGATTTTTAGAGACAGTGCAAAATGGAGTTATGGTGGAATCTAATTCGCCAAAATGGTAAAGTACAGCCGTGTGAAGAGATATTTGTGATTTGGAAGCTCCAAAATGTACTGCTTGGACCTCTTCTGCATATTTGCAAACATAGTTTTCAGCAAAATCAATGTGTAGCATGGCAGTTTTATTATCAACCTGCCTCTTGACACTATTTATTGCTTGGTATTGATGGTAAATATTATTTAAATGATTCATAAAATTTGGTAATTTAGACTGCAAATGGATAGCTAAATCCTTTCTTCCTTTTTAGGACTTAAAATATTTTCTTTTATTGTTTTTTGGCACAGTTTTTCCTTTCCTTTAACGGAAATTGGTATGTTTTTAGTAACCCATCGAAAATATGGTATGGGGTCATTATTTTGAATGATATTGAACTGTACTTTCTTTTTTTGACAATTCTTACATTTTCTAAGCAGACATTCTTCTCTTAATTTTCCTTCACAGCAAATAGTCTTCACGAGTGCTACAGGCGTGCGTTCATTAATGACTTTTGCTGTTTTCAAGGCTGTGGTAATAAGTTCCATATTAGTATGATGGATACATAAACACGTATCTCTTTGTCTTATTGTTGGAGAAACAATCCAAAAAGGACGATAGCGACAAAAGAGCGAATATGAAATTTTATTGTTCACTGTATTTTTAAATTTGCCATATAAAGTCAAAAGTGAATCATTTAATAATCTAATTTGCTTTTTTATTTTTTTTCTTGTCATTGTTTCCTTCTTTCCTGCTGTTAATCTACTACATTCATCTTACTCTAGAAACTCTTGAATCTGCTTTTTAGTGTTATTTATTTTACGTTTTTTATTATTTATTATTGCTTCACTTTTTTGTTTGTTTGTTTTAGCTACAGCTCTGTTACAACGCATTTTGTATTTTTTTACTCTGTTTTCCATTATACGCAGTTTTTCTTTTAGTAACACGTTTTCTAATTTCAAACGCCTTCTATTCTTTTCCCCTGTTCTCTTGCCTGATTCAACTCTAGATCGGGAACTAGAAGGTATTGGACTATCTGGTGGAGTTTCATTATTAATAAATTCTTCGGCCTGTTTATGTATTTGTTCCATGGACTTTTTCTTATCACGATATCTTTTTGATCTTTCTTTCCACAGCTTTCTCACTGTTCTCTTAGCTCGAGGCGTCAACTCAGAAATGCTCTTTATCAATCCCTGTTCTTTTCTTCGCCTATACCTTTCACGGTCTTTTTTTCTTCTTTCTTCAAGCTGTTCTTCTGTCATCTTTTGTCGGTGACGTCTCATAGCAAGCTTTACTTGTTCTTTACGAATATCACTTGTTTTGGCCCCATTATTTTCTTTCGTTTGTCGAGTGCGACGATTCATACGGCTAAAAATAAAACTGTTAAATTCAGTGATCCCACAATCACTTCTGTTATAGAAATGTCTTTCTATATAAGTTAACGTTTTTGAAGAAAACAAAGATTCAATTCAATAATATTAGAATATTTTTTAATTTGTGTATTGATTAATTAGAACAGCCAGAGTTGAACATAATGAATATAAAAGAAATATTATCATTTCTGTTATCTTATATCATTTCTGTTATCACTATGATAACAGAACGTGACGATAACAGAAATGGTAAAATTTTGAAATACCCGCTTCGTTGTATTCAAAGTTAAGAGTAAACTAGTTGACTCTTAGGTATATTAAAACAAACAGTGAAATAGATTCCGTCCGCATATTATTTTTTTGAATTTTGATAAGCTTACCTTTCTGCAGCCTCAACAGAGATGATACACCAACTTTTACACAGTAATAATTACTAACAAAATGGTTTTTATTACAAAACTAACGATAGCACTTTTTACTTTGAAGCCGTTCCGTAAATGACAGGTAATGTAGTGTTGTCACTGCATAAAAAAAATACCTATGAAGAATGTTACTAGCGTTTTATTACAAAATACTCTTGGATCACAGAAATGAAGTGAAAATTGTAACAAGAGTAGAATCGTGTAAAATGTATTGTAAGATTGCACTAACCTTTATACTGTTAGTAATATCATAAACTAGATTATATTAATACAATATTTGCGATATTAACAACATCCTAAACTCGCACATTATATTTTTCTTTGTTACCTTAATGTGGTAACATGTGAAATACACAGATAACAGAACGTGATATACGCATTATTAATTTTATTTTTAAGAATTAATTTTTAATTTAATACCGTTTATTAAATAAACAGATGATAAAGAACATCGTTTTCAGTTATGATAATGAAAAAAAAAACCAGAATGTTAATTTATCTTTGTATTTTTTTGACTGCACACTTTTTCGCAGTAGAATAGAATGACCCAAATAACTTAACATAAAGCGGTGCACAGGGCAATCGGGGAATGGAGCAGCGCCGGCATCACTCATGTATGTGTATACATATTGTCGTGTGTGACGCTCTTGACGCTCATAGCGTTTCAGCCTTCGCCGGGTTACCCTCCAACTTTCAAGCTCATCGGGAAGAGCTGCGCACGCATCCCACGCACACATATATAAATATTAATATATATATATATATAGTCATGTGACGCTCGTGACGCATTTCCGTTTCACCTTTTTCATAGGATTCTCCATTTACAATAAACCTACGGTTAAAAATTATCACCATTTTTATAAATCGGCTCTTTATATTTATGTGATAAATATGTAGGTACTTTTTGTACGAACTGCCATATTTTTTTTTATAATGCCTAATCAATTGTCTATTATTATACTGTATTCATGTAAATCACTTTATAATAATCTGATTGTATTTGCGTGAATCAACTAATAATAATAAACAATATTAACTAAAACTACTTACCCTTACCATGCCTTAAGTCATTATATTAATGTTTGTGATACCCTCACAGGGCTGCAGGGTTCTTGTGTGTATGTGCAATAGCATCTGAATAACCAACACGAGTAGACAAACGAATAAATTAATTTCGATAAATCTCTGTTATCGTATTCCAAATGGTTATGATTCAATACTTCGTAGATCCATCGTGGATCTTGCCAATAGATCTTTTGAGATTGGTTGCTATTAAAATTCCATCTGAGTTTATTAATAAAAGAAGAATGAAGATGAGTAACTGAAATAAAGTAAAAAACAATGTAATAAAACGCATTACATTGTTTTCAAAGAATTTAATAAATGATTATAATCTTATATTTAGTACTTTTCTTTTTAGTTTTACTCATTTATTTATTCTTCTTCTTGGCCTTTGTTTATTGATTTTTTGTGCAGTTTGGAACTTTTTAGTTTTAAAGAAATATAGGTGACATTTCTCCTAACATCTTGTGCTTCAGTTACAGTCTCTGGCAATTTAACGTTTAAAGTTTCTGGCAAATATAGAGACGCCAAAACCCCAAAAAATGAAGTAATCGCTAGGACCACCCCAGGAATCCGAGAATCAATGCGACGACCCTGAAATGTTAACAATAAACTTATCACTTAGCCGTGATGAAAATAATTATTTTTTCACCACTCTTGTTAGAAATACACTTATTTTTACACTTTACTATTTTTTCTCTCTCCTCTGGCCTCTCCCTCTCCATTTTCCCATAAGGGCCCATTGTGGATAGATGGATGCTAATGACAGCAAAATAGCTTGAACCAACAGCTTAACGTGCCTTCCGAAGCGCAGAGCTCAAAATCTCCCATTCCGATAAGATTCATATATAACTTCGATGAATAATTTTGACATAAAAATCGGGGCGGACCAAGTATTACAATATTTATCATGTTCTTTAAAGAATAAAGAGAAGAAAAGTTAATCAGCCCGTTTTCTTTAAAAATCTTGTACACACAAACATAAGTAAGTCCATTCAAAAATTTAAGATTAACTTATATTGAAGTATTTGATATCTAAAGAAAATATAACTTGAAAAAATTTCACGCGGACCAGGCAGCAGACGGGACTCGAACCCGCACCCTTCGCTATCCGAGCGAATGCAATGACCAATTATGCTACCGCGGCCCTAACAAGCTGCAAGGCAGCGCTTGATATCTTGATATATTTGATATCACTAAAATATATATTATGTTTTTTGGATATTGGTCTGCACTATACTTACCATGTACAACAAATACGGAGCAATGGCACATGCTCCACTAGAAAAAAGATTACCCAGTGACATGCCAGATTGACGAAGACAGGTTGGATACAATTCCATGTTCAATAAATAGATGACATAATAACAAACAGTGGCAGAAAATCGATTAACTAGGACAAGTGTTGTGCCTATCCACCAATTGTGAACCCAAGATGTCTCATTACCTGTAAATACATGAGCAAATTTAAAAAAAACCTTCATTTATTCTGACAAATAGAAACATACATACCGGTCTCTTTTGAAGCTATTAATGTCCACATTATTGCACTTAAAATATAAGATACACTCCCTGTGTACCTCCGCCCAATTTTATCTGCGAGCCATGCACCCACAAAAGTTGCTGGAATTTCTACTATCGACTGCCATGCAAATTCCAGAAAGGGGTTTCCATTTGCTTTTTCGCCAGAACTCATTATGAGAACCATATAGCTTAAGCTCACTGCAACCCTCAAATTGAAAATAAATTTAATCAATCATTAGAGAATATTAAAGCACAAAGAGAAAAAAAACTTAGTTATTACCTTTGCTTTATTCATACAACCCTTTAGAAATTCATTAGAACGTATTTATGCTAATTAAAATATGTTAAAGAAGGGATAAAAAATCATTCGCAAATTTAGCGATCAAATTCTCACAACCCTTTTAAATGCGTGCAGACATTTGTCCAATGTACGAATACATGGCTTGAACTGCACACGTAAAAGTATAATGAGGAAGTATTACATTAAATATCAAATGGGATGGGATAACTTACTGACTACTGAGTCATGTAAAAGAAAAAAATAAATAAACCGCCGATAATTATAAACAATAAACCTTTTTTATCTTGATTCAAATTAATATTTGGAGTCGGTGCCAGTGCCAGGCAACCCAAGTAGTAAATGGATAACTCAAATCTGTCAGACCTGCATAGCACCGACTCCAAATATAAATTTGAGTAAAGATAAAAAAGTTTTATTCTTTTTAACTTCTCGGCGATTTTTTTTTCTTCAATAGTTTTTTTTCTTTGACAGGACTCATTAGTCAGTGAGTTATCCCACCCTATCTGATATTTAATGTAATACTTACTCATTGTACTTTCACGTGTGCAGTGCAAGCCATGTATTCGTACATTGTTGTAATATACAACTCGGCATCAAAATCAGTGTGTGGAAAATCAATCATCCTCTGTTTTCTTACTCTTAGGGTTAAAATTCTATTTCCAAATTTATATGGGATCAACTTCGGGGTATACCCTTTCCAATAAAAAAAGAATTATCAAAATAAAACTATTTTGTCAAAAGTTATGCGTGGTCATACGAGTAGCTTGCCGGTAGCACAGTCCTGGCGGACGTGCATCGAGGTCGGGTCGAAGCCAGCCCCCCTAGCATGAACACCGCGATATGATATATAGCACGTTTTCATCACGCTCAATTGTCAAATTACTATGGAGTTTGACAGTTAGACACGATAAAAAACGTGATAAAATGTATAATGTTGTGCTCATGCTACAGGGACAGGGAGCAAGACAAGCGACCAGCTGCAGCGGAACTGCAGTGGGTCCGTTCCATCGCCCAAAGGGAAGCTGAAGCTCAGGCTGATGCTGGCCACTGGATCATAAAGGCCCTTCGATTGGTGTTGGAGGAGTGGAAGGGACGCCGGCACGGCGACCACACCTTACGCATGGTGCAGATCCTGACCGGACTGGGTGCTTCGGTCACTGTCTGCTCCGGGTCGCCCGTCGAAAGGAGATACTGAGACGCTAGGACGCGGAGCCCTCTCGCTGCTGGGAATGGCCTCGACCATGTTTGGCAAGACGGCTTGGGAGGCTGCCGTCTCATTCTGCGACAGGAAGGGAAAGGCGAAGGCGTGCCCTGGCTGCGCCCGCCCAGTGACCCCTCCACCTGAGTGGATCCCTCATGCCGGGCAGCGAAGTAGGTAGCAATATAAGAGATACATAAGTATCGACAAAAATAAGAAATCATATCAAAGCCACAATCTTTCTTTTAGTGATATCCCGAGGTTCACATGCTCACCTTTAATATAGTGATCATTACGTCTTAGTCATAATAAGAAGCAGTGATTTTAAGCCGACTTTACCCGACTCATATCGCGGAAGTGCTAGTATGATAATAAAATTTTAAATAGTATCTAGACTTACCAAAGATAGAGTTGTAATATTGTATTAATTGCTAAATTCCTGCCCAAAAATAGAGACAAAGGACCAAGAACATGGTCTTCGTTAATGATTGTAGTTTTTAAAATTTCTTGCTTAGTTTCTGGTTTAAGTTTTGCGTTATTCGTTCGAGCGATTCGCTGCAGTTCTTTGACACACATTTCTTTTTTATTTTTAACAAAAAGCCATCTAGGAGATTCCAGCATCTTCCTGGAACAATCCAATAAGTATAAAGTTTATTTTCTGCCGAAGCCTAAACAGCATGACATAAAGATTGTATTACCAGGAAAATATCAAATATGGCAACTGTGTTAATGTAGTGGCAATCATAAAAGGTCTCCAATCTCTTAGCCACCAGTATAGTAATGGCATGAGGCACATTCCAGTACTGTAAGCAATTGCACGATAGGTTGCAGTCAATGATCTTCTTTTTGGAGCTGATATTTCCATTGATATAACAGTGACACTTTGTACTGTGGACCATGATGGAAACCAAGCAATAACACAACCAATCACAAATATTGTGTATGAATTGCTAGTGACAATGGATATAATGCGTCCAGAAATAAGTAGTCCTAATGATATTATATAGGTAATACGACGGCCACTTCTGAAACATGTATACACTTTTTATTTTTTCATTATTATGATAGCGAGATATTCGAGGCAATGGAGATCTCTCCATAGCTATTTATATAGGTACACATCAAACAAAGTCTAAGCAACATGCATTTACGTAAACTGAAAGTTCTAACAGTGGATATTTTACATTATCGTTATGAAATGTATATTTTTATTCAAACGTTTTCTTGCTTTACTCACTAATAAATCAAATTGCTTATTATTAACAAATGAATATAAGTATTAAAAATATTAAGATTCAGTCAAAGTTCGAAAAAGTTTATGTCATTTAGATTCTTTTGCTGAGTATATTTATTTGAAAATATGAAATCAAAGTTTATGACATCTATAAATAAACTTTAAGCTTCGTACATATCACCAAACCATCCAAAGATTATAGATCCAACCACTTCTCCAATTTTACTATAAGCAAAAATATTTGCAACTTTTATCTCGTCATCACACACCCAATTATATGATGATGGAACAGTAGATCCATACCAAGTTTGGTTATATGAATAGGTATCACAACCTGAAAAAAAACTAGTAGTTTAGCGTAACTACTGCATTGGTTGCATAATGAGCTCACTTTATATTTTTAATGTTTATTTTACATAGTGGTAATCCGTACATAAAAGTGCCCTTTATTTTAAGTACCTTTTGTCAAATTCGACTTCTCAGGATTCTTGTATATTAAGCAACTACTGTATAGAATTTTACCAGAAGAATCATTGACGCTGAAAATAATTTAAGTATTAAAAACAAAAAAATAGCGAGAGTTCAGTAAATTTACACATGTACTTACTTAAGCATAACTGATATTGCAGTTTTATAATATAATTACCTACTATTACTTACATGGGTATAAATTTAGACATTAAATACGGGTCATCATTGTTGTTTGAATCCTGTGGTATTTGGCAAGTATGTGGCAAAATCACGAGTGCTAGTATAATGTTGTTATACGCCATTGCCCACAAAGATGCAAATACGAAGTTAAAAAACACATCAAATTGTTTTTGAAACTTTCCATCTGATCCTACTTCAAAAAGTGCGCGTTCGTACACACAATCCATTATTCATACTTATTCGTGAAATATCATCAACCAGCACTTTTGAATCACAGAAGATCTAACAAAATAATGAAATCGTGAGCATTGTGATTGTGATGTATGTTTAAGTTTGCATGTAAGTGTTATCTTTATTTATTTAAACTACTTATTTGTTTTTTATCTTGTCCTATCTGAACTTAATTAGATATTCATTAGTAAATTTAGTAAATGAGGCAACAGATTGTCGTACAGGGTATATTAATAAGGGAAATATTTTAATCCATTATACAGGAATAAATAAATAAAACGAAGTAAAAAATATATAGCGAAGGACGCTGGTTCGATTCTCACTCGAGTGAGTTGAAATTCTTGCAGTAACATTCGCTGTTGATATAAAAATCTAACTTATTCGATGATCTTGATGATCGTAAACTTAAACTTGTATTTAATTAAAACCAGTCTCTCGCTGTATATATATCTGGGCCTATTCCGCACAGTTCTCATTCCGCACTGGGCCCAATGTGGAATAGTCCCAGTGCGAATGCTCCCGGTCCATCGCCAATGTTCCTGGTTCATGGCACACGCTCCCGGAATATCACTCACCAAACAAATTTTTGAACCAAGTCGATAAATAAATAAAATAAATAAATACTTCCAACACTCACACCAATTAGCCTAGCCCCAGAGTAAGCACTGTAAGGCTTGTGTTATGGGATACTAGGGTAACGGATAGAATACATACACTGTACTTAAATAAGTTATATAGAAATACATATTAAACATCCATGACTGGAGTACAAATGCTCGTATTCGAACCCGGGATCTCTCGAGTCGGCGACACCATGAAACCCGGCGTACAAACCACTCGGCAACGGAGGTCGTTAACCGCCGACAACGACCGCCGTCAGTGGTCGCCCAGCTCGTTGCCGATCTAGCTACCTGTCCAGCTACTTAGCTAGCCCCCATTCGTGATACCGTCCGAAAAGGAACTTCGTTCCAAAAATAGTTTACATTCTCTCATTACTTCAGACGTCTACAGCTTGTCTTGAGTGCAATTAAAAAAATACTTTATGACTTAATTTTAAAGAAAATAAGGGTTTAGATTCTGGCATGATTCTCTGAACCTAAAACAACAGTGAGTCCTTATCATTCTTTATACAGAATGAAAAGGAGAAACTGATGTTAAATATAGCTGATTCGAGTCCTGTCTGCTGCCTGGACCGTGTGTTTTTTTTTTAATTAAATATCCTTTACATTTAACTTGATTTAAACATTTAGCAGTTAAATGTTTAAAATAAAAACATAATAAACTGCAATTGCTATTTCTTCACTCATATGTTTAACACTTGTACTGTTTACTGTTTCGATGACTACCGAATTCTTGTCATCTGGCGAAAGTTTTACTTGTCAGCTTTTTTTAACATACTACGTACTTGCACCACTTATTTCAGGAGACTGGATTTGAACCAGCACCCAGCACTCTTCGCTAGCCAGATATGTATAGTGTTCATAAAAATTATCATGTCTTAATCCAGGTCATAAACTATATAAGTACCAAATTTTATCCAAATCTGTTTAAAAGTTTTAGCGTGATTGGATTGAGGAAAGCCAGAAACTTATTATCGTGTTGTGTCGTGTCGTGTCATGATGTGCCAGAAGCCCATCAGTTTCATACATTTATTATGGGTTAGAGAGAGAGGTTTCGAGCGTCCGTCGACCCGACTAGCTTGTAAATATGTCTCTAATCATAGCAAATGTATGAAACTGATGTGCTTTAGGCGCGTCAGGACACGCCACGATACGTTAATATGTTACTGCTTTAACAAACATTCAAACTTGAATATTTTCAGATTTATTATATTAGTAGGATTCAATAACAAACACAAACACACATTGGTGTCGATTCTGGCATGGTTCTCTAAACTTAAAAGTAAATTTAACATCAGTCTCTCCTTTTTATTCCGTATAGAGTACGACAGGGATATACTTTTGTCAAATTTATGTTTAGGTTTACGATTGTAAGATATCAAACTTTCTGATTTTTATTATTAGTAGGATCAAGATTGGTTGCCCGCACGGACTAGGAACGTCTTGAATACAAACCTTTCACGTTGCAATCTGATATTTGGTCGCATTTAGCAAGTAATCTATATTTGGTCGTATGGTGTGTTTTACGAGTACGACCAACACATCCACAAAAGAGCTTGTCGTATCGAGTGTGTCAGTGATAAATTATTTTTATACTGGAGCTCGTTATATTTTAACTTGGCAACATTATTTAAGGCGGTTGGTGGAGTGACTTGACCGCTTGTTTGCCGCCTGCGCGTTTTTTTCGAGGATTTTCGCGCTTCGTTTGCACTAGTTAATGATAAAATTATATTAACATTCCAATATGGGTGCGTACTTATCTGAACCTGTTACTGAAAAAGTGTCAAGCGATGAAAAAAATGATATTCTCGAGTGCGGTGCTAGCTCCATGCAGGGATGGCGTGTCAATCAAGAGGTACCGATTTTGTTTCCCTCTTAGTAAACTGCTTGCCTCATATTCCTAAGAATCTTAATGTTATTTGTTCAATTAGTATCAATCATCACTACTGACTTTCTTTTGGAAAAGTGGTTTTTGAAAAAAAAAATTAATCTGCGTTTGTACTGTTAACTGTATGTAACCTATGTCATATGAACTAGCTATACCTTATTAGTTTACTATTTTAATATCATGCATGTTCTCGAGTTGTAGAAGCTTGTCATACGCATTTTAATATGACTTAAACGAATATTGAATTAATATTGAAAAAAATCTTCAATAATGTTTTTAGGATGCTCACAATACAATTTTGGATTTTGATGAGAAAACATCCTTTTTCGCTGTTTACGACGGTCACGGTGGCGCAGAAGTGGCCACATACTGTTCTCAAAAGCTTCCAGACTACATAAAAAACACGGAGGCATATAAAAAAGGGGAAATGATAAAGGCACTGGAAGATGCATTTTTAGAATTTGATGCTACTATTGCTACCAAAGAAGTCATGGACATACTTAAAGAGCTTGCAGGTAAGCAAAAACCTTTATTATTTTAATGAATAATTATTAAGAAACTTGCAAAAGTGAATATTTTAATATTTTCAAGTTTGTTCTGTCTATGAGTTACTATGTGCATCCACAGGTTTTGTTCTTATCATGATATTTTTTTATCAGTGACATTACTCTGAAGCATAATTTTCATAGAATAAATTATATATAATGATTAGACATTTCAATTTGGATATTAATAAATGTTACTTTTACCTATTTTTTTTTTAATTGATTATTCAGAATAATCTTGTCAATCTGATACATGATTTATAGATAGATAAGACAGAGATACGTAAGACAGAATGTACCTTCTCTTTAAAATGAAAATTGTAGCTTTAAAAGCCCTTCAAATATTATGAATATTATCATATCAGAGATGTTTCACAATTATATAAAGTGGTGGTTAGGGTGAATCAACGAAAACTATTTACCCAAACCCAAACCTTCATAAAGATAAGTTCTTTTTTACTGTTTCACACCACACAGGACATGAAATGAATAAAACAACATATAGTGTAAATTCCATGTAACGTCACTTGATTTAACAACAAACTCCCTAAAGCGTCGAAATCACTTGTTTTTTGTTGGTTTATATTAGTCTGTCAGTTAGTTAGTTAGTTTATCAAAAAATAATTGATATGTATTTTTTCTTTTGTCAATCAACCAAAAATATACAAAGATAAGCACATCAACATTTAAGAGATGAAGCTCTTGATTTCACTTCTTTTACCTGCGATCTGTCTTGTTGACATTAAACTGGATTTTATGAATTTGGAAAAAGATGTCGAGCATGGTACATGATCCAATGATATGCCTATCTACTTTTCTGTGTTGGTGTTCATGATTTTGAGGAGCACTTCTCTTTAGTCTCTTAAATGTATAGTTTGGTTGCTTTTCCATCAAAGTTCTTGCTAGTTGGTTAGTATGAGTTCTTCATTTCTTCTTTAACAGGTTTGATTTTTAGATCATGGTGCAGGTGATTATTTGTCAAATACCATGGTGCTCCAGCTATCATTTGTAGGGCTTTTCATTGAAAACATTGAAGTATCTCTATGTTGGATATAGAGGCTGAGCCCCATAGTTGTAGGCCTCCATTAAGTATACACTTGTACAGAAGGGTTTATTTTCCAAAGAGTCTTGAGGTTTTCTTCCCATGAGCCAGCCAGTAAAGCTTTCGTAATTGTAAGTCAAGTGCTATCCTTTTGGTAGATATATGTTTCTTCCAGGTTAAATGTCACATTAAAACGTCCACATTATATGTTTCAAAAAATAATTAAACCTCATTGAAGAGGTGTGACAAGCCGTTGGCATTCCATAGTGCTAATTTGAGCTGGTTGAATTTTTTAACATTATTGACATTAGGTTTGTAAGTAGATTTAATATAGTACACATTTGATTCATGATTTGTTTAAACATTTCTATTAGCTGTTTCATGTCGTTTGATTTGTCGGAAGACTTTATGATAGGAAGTTGTGGTGTTTCACGTACTTTGTTTCCTTTATATAAAAAGGGCATCCTAGTAAGACTTGCCACTTTGTACATTTTTAAAGTTACTTTTAGGCATATGTTCAACGTCAGCTTTTGAGGGAGGTGTTCTTCTTTTTTGTTTCTGATGGATGGGAATTTCTGTTTTTGCAAATCCTTGTATATGCTGCAACCTTTATAGTTTGTGATATGGCGCATTTGACAGAGTCATAACGTTCTTTACGGGTGCAATTTGTAGATAAGTGGCTGCCAGCGCATTGGATGCATTTGCGAGTGCGACAACAGTATGCTCTTGTGTGTCCATATTGCTGGCAGTTTTCACATTGGGGTATGTTGCGTGTTTGTCTTGGTGGTTCTACTTTTATATGTAAGTGTAAGAGGCTTGTAAGCTCATATATTAGTTTGTTGTTTGCTTTTGATAGCAATTCTGGAATAAACATATGTAGAGGTTTTTTGTTGTCCTCTGCTTGATATTCCATATGTTAACGGTTTTTTTTTTATGTTATAGGGGGCATACAAGCAGACGGCTCACCTGATGGTAAGTGATCACCGTCGCCCATGGACACTTGCAACACCAGGAGTATCACAAATGCGATGCCAGCCTTTAAGGAAGGAGTACGCTCTTTTTTTGAAGGTTCTTGGGTCGTATTGGTCCGGAAACACTGCTGGCGACAACATATTCCACAGTTTTGTCGTACGTGGTAAAAAATTTCGACAAAAACGCACGGTTGTGGATAGCCACGCATCAAGATGATGGGGATGAAATTTTTGTCGCGATGTACGATGGCGAAATGCAGCAGCTGGAATTAATCCGAACAATTCCTCAGAACACTCCCCGTGATAAATGCGATAGAAGATGCAGAGCGAAGCTACATCCCTACGCAAAGCCAAAGGATCAAGCTGATCGGAAAGGTCCTGGTCGTCGACGATTCGAGCCGCTCGGCGCTGGATGCGATCCAAAGGGAGAAGCTGGTACTGGGGTGTCCCTGCCTGCGTTTTCCCGTGAAATGTTGGCGCGGCCGGTATATAGGGCATCACCCGTGCTGACGTCTGCATAGCAATGAATGTCATCAATTTGAAGCATATCATTGATATGAAGAAGAAACAGCGTAGGCGATAGCACACAGCCTTGTGGAACACCAGCGTTTACGGATTTGGAGTCCGAGCATGCACCGTCGACTGCGACCTTGATGCTCCTGTCCGCAAGAAAGCTAGTGATCCAAACGCACAGCTTTTCAGGAAGCCCATAAGAAGGAAGCTTCGAAAGAAGCGCTTTGTGCCAAACCCGATCGAAGGCCTTCGCGATATCCAGACCGACCGCCAATGCTTCCCCCTTGGTCTCGATCGCCTTTGCCCAGCGATGAGTCAGGTATACTCATCCAGATCACCAGCCGAGCGACTCTGACGGAAACCGTACTGGTGGTCACTGATCAGCTGGTGGTCCCCTAGGTACGGCAGGAGCTGGCAATTTATAATGGACTCCATTATCTTGGAGAAGAAGGAGGTGATGGCTATCGGCCTTTAATTAGTAGGGAGTGAGTGGTCGTCTTTTTTAGGAATCGGGTGCACTAAAGCTGTCTTCCATGAGTTCGGAACGACACCTAAAGAGTAGGAGAGCCGGAAAAGACGCGTTAGAACCGGAGCCAACTCAGGAGCACACGTCTTCAGCACAATTGGTGAGATTCCATCAGGCCCGCTCGACTTGTGGATGACAAGGGAAAAGAGTGCTTTACGCACTAAGCTTTGTGTGAACCGGATCTCCGGCATAGAGCTCTCACACCGCGGGATGGTCGGCGGTATGTATCCCCTGTCATTTAGAGTCGAGTTAGACGCAAAGAGTGAGCATAAAAGTCGATTCGTCGCCATTGTGCAGGGGTGGAAGGGATGGCTTACAGAATTTTCGTTCAACAGCCTTGGCAAGAGACCAAAACGCGCGTGTTCCAGAGGGAAGTTTTATTAATCTCTCGCCAATGCTGCTAATGTGCTCCGACTTCGCTCTGGCAATTACTCTTTTGCAGGACCTGGAGGCCAAGTTATACTTCTTTTTGAGATCGCTAGTGTTGTTATCCCCGACCGCCGCTGCGTTTGCCCAGGCCTGATAACACATCTGTTACCAGTTTACAGTAGTGACCAAACCAAGACTGGGATTTGCCACCAATGGGAACCACAGAGGAAGGAACAAAAAGTTCCATACCCTGAAGGACAACATCGGCGACAGAATCGGCAGCGACGTTGGGATCATTCTGCGAGAAGCAAACCTGGCCCCAAGGGTAGGATGAAAAGAAAGTGCGCATCCCATCCCAGTCTGCAGACTTATAGTGCCACACACGACGACAGCCAGCAAATTGCGGCCGCGGTGAGTAAGTGAGTGGCACCATACTCCGGATTAGACAATGGTCCGAGGAGCCAAGAGGGGCATCTATGGACACTTTGTAATTATCCGGATGTGAAGTCAGCAGAAGGTCCCAACAGTGAAGGTGTATGGTCTTCGACATACATCTGGGATTCGCGTAGGCGAGGTGACCAGTTGTGTCAGACCATAGGCCAAGGCGAAGTCGTGAGCAGATCTGCCTGCATGATCGGTAGTGGGCGATCCAAGCCATTCGGAGTGGTGGGCATTGAAATCGCCAAGGATCACAATTTCAGATGATGGGATCTGCTGAAGCACGGAGTCTGTAGCCACCTGGACGTGATCATAGAGTCGGTCAATTTCGGTATTTCCGCTATGGGACCTGTAGAGGCAGGCGTAGACGCGGGGATGGTCATCGACGTCTACACGCAACCATAAGATGGAGAGGTCCCTACCTTCAAAGTTGCTGAGGCGACGGAAACTAATACCCTCTTTAACGTACATACATACCCCAGCCCGTGGTACAAAGGAATGTTCCAAAGTATACCCAGGGTACTGGAGGTAGGAGGTGTCGGCTGGACAGGATATCTGCCTCAGTCAAAAAAAGCAAGGCCGGCTGCACCGTCTGAAGGTGGTAGTGGCCTCGAGCAGTTTCGGTAATGAGCGCGGTTTCGCCCTCCCCAGAATACGAAGGGCAGCCTCGACGTCCACGTCCAGAAGGAGACAGTTCTGGGCATGGACGTCTAGAGGGGGATTCTCCAGCGTGAAAACAGCTGGTACCCCCCTGGGGTATTATCCTATTTAACTGCGCCATCATGAGGAAAAGGGGGGGGGGGGGCCTCCGCCCTCTCCCATTCATGCAGTAGCCTAAGCTACTGCGTGGCTCTCCCACGATAAAAAAAATATTTCATAAGTCGGTGTCATGACCTTTTTCTTTTAGGACTTCATGAATTTCTTCGGGTTGGGCCTCCGGTAGCCTCACTCACTCGGCGAAACACAGCCCAAAGTACTGCTTCACGCCGGTATTCTGTGAGGTCGTGGTATACCTCCGGTCGAGCCGGCCCATTCATGCAGTAGCCTAAGCTGCTGCGTGGCTCTCCCACGATAAAAAAAATATTTCATAAGTCGGTGTCATGACCTTTTTCTTTTAGGGCTTCATGAATTTCTTCGGTATCCATGGACGCGTGAATGTTCTTTAGGACTACTTTAAAGGTACACTCTTGCTTAGGCTTGTATGTATATAACTCTGTTTTTTTGCCTTCTAGTTGTTTGAGTAGTTCCTTATAAGTGTCTGGAGTCGCAGTTTGGATTTGGACACGGTTATTATTTAAAACTTTAATTTCATAGTTTCCTCTAGCATGTTCTTCAAGGAGTTCTTTCAGCGGCCGCATGTTTTCGACTTTGTCTACAAAAATAGTGGTATCCTCTTGGTTGGGGGTAAGTTTCCAAATCCTCAAATTTGTTTTATGTCGGTATTGGCTGAGCCAATAGCTGCTGAGTTTAGTCTACTTATTAACATGGTTATTATCGTGCTCAGGTCTCTCTCACTCTTGGGCACTTTCTTTCTTTTACATTTGTCCATGGAGTTTGAGATTTTGTTCCACTGGTTATAGAGTCGTCAGATTCCAATTGGTCTGTCGTTTTTTGTGCGAGTTGTTCATCACTAAGTGATTGAGACCTAGGTCTGTTCAAGAACAGAGACTTATGAAATATTTGCTGTGTTAAGAAGACCTTAACACAGCAAATATTTCATAAGTCTCGTGTTTTGCTGGTAGGTTGAGTTGGTTTTTAATAATTTATCATCCATATTATTCCCACGAGTAGGGTCGATTTAAAAAGGTCACTAGAAGGGTGACACCTATTCCCCCTAGAAGGAAAATACAACGGTGTTTTCCAGGTCCACCAAGGTTGATCGCTTTCGACTGATCTCCCCATCAGCCACGCATTCATGGGCACGTATCACACCGTGGAGTAGGGGTAACTTTTTATTGAGGTTTTCTACCTCTTGGTCCAGACAATTAAGCCAAGGCTTCCGGTTTCGCTTGCTGTGCAAGGCGAAGATACGGCTTGTGAGGGTCATTTCCTCACCCTCACTAGTGTCAGGCTTCTTAGGCCGGCTGAGTCGGGTTTGTTAACCGTCGCCTTCACTTCTAAGTAAAAAATATACCAAGACGTGATGTCATTCGACATTTCAAATAAATATACATATCTCTTTAATGTGAATTAGGAAAAACATATATGCCCAACACTTTTTCATAATTTACCTGATAGACGAGAAAAAAAAGGTTGGTGATCATCCCTTTTCTAACCAAATAAGGATTTTTGTTATGACTTTGAAATCAGTAGTCTCATACATCACAAATTAAAATTGTTCTTAGTTTAAAGGTAAATGCCTAAATTCCAATTTTTATATTTGCGTATATAACATCTCACTGTATCTATTGAAATTAAATGTTGGGATTTAGCCACTCACCAGTTCTGATCAAAAAATCAAACCATACATGGATCTCTTTGTACCTAGTACATAAAATTTAATTAAAGTCAATCCAGCTGGTTAGGAGGAACATGCATGAACCAAAGAAATATCTAAAAATAATTAGATTTTTTTAATGCTGCTTGCAAAGGACAATGTTAAAATTGGCCTAAGAACCAACACCAATTTGGCATTTATGATAATTCTTAGTATATTTTTTGCGATAATTATCAGTATTTAGATTGTGACGGACACTTCCAGTTAAGTAAGCTAAATTAAAAAGTTTAAAAAACAATCTGATACAATAAATACCACTTTATGTGTATAATCTATGGCAGCGCTGCAAACAAAACTCTTTCTTCCTAATGCCGGCACTTCACTTGGCTATTCGTATTTGCTATTTTAAAACATTACATGAGTCTGTCCTTGTCATTCCTTATTAAGCATGACAAGGACAAACTGTTGTCAAGTGAAGGGCCGGCATAAAACTCGTTACTCTGTGGTTTTGGTGCATGCATTTTGCGTTCGTAGTAATCTGTGGCATTCGTGCATTCCAAAGAGTAGTTTAATAAACCGAAAAGTGCATTCTCGTTTCGGATTACCTGTTCTGTATGTTTATTTGCGATTGTTTTTCCTTTAATTTAACTATTTCGGCTATCTAATATGCCATCGATGTTACCAAAGAGCAGAGCCCCTATTACCAAGTGCTAGTGGACCTGTGCCACAACATCCTGAGAGGATCATACTGCCAAATTATTCAAGAACACCTGATACACATTCACGCTGCATATTGTGTATATACCTACATGTGATATACAACTAAATACAATAAACAATATGATACAACTATGTGAAAAATAGTCAGTAAATAAGAAGCCTAACCTAACCTAACCAAGTTTTTCCTAATAATTATTCTTTAAATTCGCACCGAATAAAATGAATTAGTTGTAATATTAATTCACTTCATACTGAGTTTATACTAAATTCATAGGTTGACCTATGTTTCATTGACTATTAAACATAACCTCAAAAAAAATTTAGTTTTCCTAATAATTTAAGTTCTCAGAAGTGTCCGTTAATAATCTTTGTTTTTACAGTCATTTACTTACGATTTTGAACCTAGAAAATAATATTTCATGATTGTTGGTTCTTAGGCTAACTATGTATGGATGCTGAACAATGTCCTTTCTATAACAATAGTAATATTTTTCCCTTAGGTGAAATAAACCCTCCAGGACCAAGTGATAATGAAGAATCTGAAGATGAGAATGTCAGTAATTTGTATCAAGAGGCACGCCTTCCTTTACAGGTAAATATTCATAACTATTCTTCAAGATAAAGATTTTTCAATTTCTAGAAAGACTATTTTTTGTATGTCCCTCAAATCTGTTTTAAGCATTAGGGAAGATGCAATATTTTTGTTTTCATTTTAAAGAATTCCATGTAGAATAAACCACAGATATATTAAAAAATTAAAACATTGTGATTTATCGGAAAAAATGCGGTTTTAAATTGACAATTTAAATTTTCGCGCGAAAACGAACCTATGGTTGCGATGACGTCACTCCTGTCTGTCAATGGTCGTAATTGTTCATTGCTGGGTTAAAATTTTCATACTTTTGCATATTTTTTCGACTTTCGAAATATTTTTTTGAAAAATTTAAAATGGACTATCCATCAACATCATGTGATCATAACAATACCACTAATATTCCGAAAAAAAGCCGTGTTGACTCATGTTTTGTGCCAATCTACTTCAACAAAGTTCCCAAATAAATTGTTTTTGACTGGAACTTCTGACCCAAAACTGAAAAAAGTGGTTTCAAGCTGCGAAGAGAAATGACAATTATTCTCCAAAGACCATTATTCGATGCTGAGAAGATCACTTTGACGTAAGTCGGCGAATATACTTGTTATATGCTTAATTAATCTGCTTGTACGTAAAAACGCATTAGTAACCTACCTAATACTTACAAAACCTGTCTATAACATATTTTTAATTTTACAGTTGGAGAATGACGTCGAAAATTAGATAAAGTTTAAAATGTGTGGCACAATCTTCACATTGGCAGGACTGAACCAAGCTTTGCGTTTCATTTAAAATAACTGTAACACGATAACCTTCTTTACGTACTTTATGCTCCGGAGAACTCGACCTTTTACTGTACATAATTTTCCATCTCTTTTAATTTGGACATAGCCGATTGCATTATCGCCGTAAGATTTGTAGAAGCCGCTGAATAAAATACGAAGTTTAACAACTACGATTTTTACATACCGTAGTAATTCCCTTTCATTTCTACACTTAAAAACTCTGCGCTTTGGACAAAAAAAGTTATAACCATAACGCTAACTCTTGGTAAATTCCTGGAGTCTGCTTTGGTAAACGCAACTTCCATTTTTATTAAATGTAAAAAAACGCAATATATATTCCCATAAAATAATATTTACTTTAACAACCATAACCTCAAAGAAGTTGTCATAACAGGAGTGACGTCACTAAACGCTGATTGGTGTTTTAAAATACGTTCCGTTTCAAGTATTTTTAATTCGTAATAATTGTTAAAAAACAACATTATGTAAAATAAAAACCTTGCAGTGGCATTTCTTTTATATTTTTTTAACATTTTAATCATAAAATTTTCATAAATATTATATATGCATCTTCCCTATTATGAGTTACTTGAGAAACTTATCCAGGTAATTCAGTCAACAATTTAGATTATATTACTTCAAAATATTTTTTTCGAGAAATTACCATGTTAACTCCCTATTTCTGCAATTATAAAATATTAACAATTTTAAATTGTTATAAGTTGATTCCAATAGAACTGCTATCTGCCTACTTTTAACAGATAATTATGCCATATTAGGCATGGACGTATAAAAAAAGGCGGACAGAGTTTCGGCTAAGACAATACTGAGGAATTGTAGGGTTGCTAGGTTAGCCAATTTTTTACCAATAAAACACAGTAAAAACATGAATATATTTTGATTGTTCAAAATTTTACTTTTTGCCCGACTGCGGAGGATAATGTTTTTCGAGCGTATGTATGCACGTATGTATGTATGTCCAATAATTTGGCACGCCCTACAGCCTGGACGTCTAGACGGATTTTGACATGCGAGGTGTCATTTGATTTGTCGTGATTGTGTGAAAAAAAAAAAAAAAAAAAAAAAAAAAAAAAAAAAACAAAAAAAAAAACTCGGTATATTAAAATTTCAAAAAATCTAAATAACAGATTTTATGCGCCAAAATGAAACATTTTGAAAAAAAAGTAAGTATTTTTATAACCCGTCAAGCGAGGTATCAAAGTGAAGGGTTTTAAAAGAATATTTAGAAAATATACAACTCGTGTAATTAAAATGTAGAAAATAAAAAAAATGTACTAAAAAGAAAAAAACAAGTCCAGTAGTCTAGAATTCTGTTTAATAAGGAACAAAGTTACTTTAACAGTCGGGACTCATTAGAAATTCTAGAATGTATCGAATTTTCTCAATATTGGGTAAATCAACTAAATATAGATGGCCTGGCCTGCATTCTCTTTCATATTTCTTAAAATAAACTAACACCCATTGAGTACTGTTTGTAATTGAGGAGTTCCATTGTTTTCCTCCGAAAGTACTCATCAGATCTCCAGTAAATTAATATGCAGCCATCTCGCTAGTAAACTGATTAAAACAAAAAAAGAATCATCATAAACGGTTCACGAATCTCGGAGATCTGCGCGAACAACAATAAAAAAAACAAATATGACGCATTGCCAACCTCTTTCTTTTCGAAGTCGGTTAAAAATTTTAATCAACCTTTTGAGGTAATGCAAACGTAATAACACGCCGTAGTCCTCCTTTAGTTGTATGTAAGTCTTGAGCTTCAAAATGAAGACTAAAAATGACACTACTACATATTTGTTTGGAAATCATTCAATTTTCCAGTAATTTCTCCATACTACATTTTCTTTAGGAAATCTGATAAAAAAGAATAATAAATAATAGATTGAAGTTAATGTCAACCCGATTTCCCATATTTTAGGTAATATGGTTACATGAACATTGGCAACACTGGGCTTTAGACTAATCATTTTGTCCTTAGAATTAAAATTGATTTCGATTTCTAAAAACTAGAAAAAAGTGATTCAATTATTCATTTACCAATGAAACGTGATTCCTGGATTTTTTTCTTTCGGTCACTACGGTTTTTACACCTTTTTACAAGCAAGATATCTTGTTTAGCTTATTTTTTATCTCCACGTAACGTGTCGGCTGCTTTGACGTTTGCACACGTAGTGGCTGACTATTGTGTGAATGTGTGCGTGCCGGCTTGTACGTACAGCGACCTGGCCGACTCTGAGCGACACAGTTTATTGTTTACCGGGACTCTGTCCGCCTTTTTTTATAAGTCCATGATAATAGGTATGTTATTTACAAATTTATGCCGTTTTACAATATTTTGTAAACAATATGAATCAATATATTTCTATAGGGTTGTAGTACTACGGTTTATAACTGTTGGCACTATGTTTATTTACACAATCTTAAGATTCTCGGGTAACTCATGAGCAGCAAAGTCACAACTTTGTATAATTTATAAGAGTATATGGGAAGGAAGTGCACAAAATTAATAGCTTTACATAATTATATCTTATAAAACTTTATGACAGTACATATACTTGAATTAAGCAGTAAATGTAGCAGTTAATTTATGGAGTATACTCCATAATCTATATCATTATTATCATCCATATATTATATCTTTCGGATAAAATTAACATGGGCAGAACAAGAACACATCAACTATGTTTAAAATCTATAGGAATGCATGCCAAAGCTAAAAATCACCAACAAGACGGATTTAAAATAAATATTTTTTTAGTTGCAATATTTTTCATATGTATTATGTTTGTATTTAAAACAGGAAGTATTGGCAAAATATGAAAATAAGCTGAGCACTTTACACCGCAACAGGCTTGGAGACACAGCTACTCCACTGTCGCCATGTTTACGTGCCAAGAAAAATGCAGAAGAAGCTGGTGGTTCAGGTATTTGCAGTGTACTAGGTAATTTGATAAATGGCTTTTTATAGCCTTTTATTAAATGATTGGACTACATGACAACAAGAATTTTCATTATATTTTATTAATCCATCCATTTGGATGGAGTGAAGAATTGTGAATTCCATAATATTTAAAAATAAAATTTATAGCTTTTTGAGGAGACTACAGACATTAATGTTTTCAACTTTATTACTGGAATAGACAGTACTTTAATACTACAATATTGGTTCATGGTAGTTTACTCTTATTTGATTTTTATTAAGTCCTGAAATTATAGTAATGTCATATTGAAGATCTCCATGGCCGAATGGTATATACGCCGGCTTTTAATGGCGTCGCCTACTCAGAGTTGAAATGTTAGTATAATGAATACGAGCATTAGGACCTTAATCATGGATGTTTATATATATTTCTAGATGAAATATACTTACACATCTAACAGCTCGCGTAGCATGAGCACCACAGTTTACATTATATCACGTTTTTTATCGCATATAACTGTCAAACTATAGTAATTTGACAATCGAGCTTCATAAATACGCGTTATATATCTTAAGGCGGTGTTCATGCTAGGGGGCTGAATATGTATTCTATCCGTTACCCTAGCATTCCATAACAAGCTTTACAGTGGTGTCGATTCTGGCGTTTTTCTCTAATCCAAATATTAAGAGACTGATCTTAAATTTATTTTCAACTTTAGAGAATCACGCCAGAATCGACACCAGTGCTTACCGTGGGGCTAACCTATATACTTAGTTTGATCATATTTTTATTTTGATATATTGTATAACACATATTTTGTTTACAAAATAACTTTATTTATTGCTTCATTTTATAGGATCAGGTGCAGGCGCATCCAGTTCCAACGCGGGCTCATCATTTGCGGCGGGATCTAGCTCTGAACAAGGCGAAGGTGCTTCGTCCACTGAAAATGGCGTTGCACAAGAGAAAAACACTGATGAGGATATGGGTGGTGTATCCTCCACAAACTACAATGAGGAGGACAAGGACACGAATGGAGAGGTAAGCTTCACATCTATATTATATCTATACTAGCGGCCGCCCGCGACTTTTTACGCGTGGTTAGTTAGAAATAAAGGTTCACTGTTCATTCGGAAATGTCCCCGTAGGTGACAGCGAGATAATATGTAGCCTATATGTTGACCCGACTTCTTAATAATATTCGTGCCTGAAGTAAATCCATGCAGAACTTTTTGACTTTATCCCGGACATACATACAGACAAACAGACAAAAATTCTAAAAACTATTTTTGGTTATGGTATCGATTGTAGATCACACCCCAAGTATTCTTTTAAAAAAATATTTAATGTACAGTTTGACTTTCCTACCATTTTATTATATGTATAGATTTTATTTTCTTTAAGTTTCATCCAAGATGTAAGGCAACCACTCAAAGAAAATCAAAAATTATTAAATGTATATTTAAGTGCTATGATTTGGGACGCATTCCCTCGAAATGTGGTTTTGTATTGCAGTAAGGTCGAAATCTCCAGATCAAACATCATAAATACAAATCTTTTCGAATTTAATGAGATTTATCAATTTTAACCTCCTTTGCTAAGGGTATCATTTCGTTTTTAGTTTTTCGTTATGAACATTATCTCTGTTTTACATGAGATAATTTGTGAATCCAAAAGAATGTTACCAAATTACATTATTTTTTTATTAATAAATAAATTAAAATTCGTAAAAAATTAAAAATTATTTCCTTAAATGAAAAGATTTTTATTCAGTGAGAACTTATAAATATTACCAGAAATGGTGATGAGTAAGGGAAAAAGTAAGTCGATTGATATGCACAAAATGTCGACAATCGGAAATGTCTTTTCTCTTATAGGGTTTGTATGGTTAGTGCGTAAACTGAACAGTTGTCTTTACTGACATTATTTATACAGTACATATTGTGTGGTCATAGCAACTTATTTGGTCAAAATACACTGGTCAACAAAATTTTAACTTTGACATGCCTCACGGCCGTGCTTGATATTTTTTTACTTTAATTGGTGATAGTAAGAAAAAAAGAAAAAATAAAGAGTTAAAAAAAATTGCTAGACGAGTATTTCTTTTTTTTTCTTTTTGAAAATCTAAGATGTTCTTGTAGTCTAAGATCCGGCTGCAGAATCAGTGTACCCATCGAGTGTTTGCTGAAAACCAAATTTTTACACATATTTATGATTAGGAGAATTTATATCCACCAGGTTGCCTATCAAAATGTGGCCGCTAGTATTTTTAATTAAATTATTAATAATTCATAATCCGTAAGAAATTTCACTGACATGTTTTTTCAATGAAATGTCGTCTATTTTACGGTAACATCTATGAAGACTCTGAAAAATCATGGTTGCCGTTGCGCACCTGGCCGCACCTCTTCGCAGCCAGGTGTACACAGGTATGATTTTGTTACATTTATACACCCACAACGTACATTCATATTTTATAAATCAAATTAAAGCTAATTTTTTTCTGTTCATTATTATATACGGTTGCCTAATTAAATTTGGCCGCAAATAAGGGTTGCTGGCTGTTAAATAAAGAAAATATTATTTTTATCTTTGAAGAACCCTAATGACATTTATAACGAAACCAAAATCGATGCAGTTCAACATTTTACGTGCCTTATGTATGGACTCCCAAAGTGCCAAAGTGTAAATGCCGCAAGATGGTTATTATTCAACAAAATGTACGCTTCAAAAGAAAGTAGTGAAAATTTTATGAAAAGAATTAAAGGTTTTGACTCGACGCACATTCCACCGTGCTGGAAATCTTTAAAGCAAAAATTATTGCGGACAATCTTTGTTAATTCGATGTGGTTAAATGCTACTGAGCCGGATTGCATCAAGTTCAGCGCGGAAAATAATGGGTGGCTGTTGATAGATGAATTTTTAAAACCAACATGGTTCCTGGGAGACTCAACTCCAGCGCAAGTTGAGAGTGTGCTGTGTGATTCCACGAACAAGCCTTCCGATAATAACGACGATACCGACATTTGCGATGAAAGTGATAGCTGCGATGATAGTATGACTGAGAGCTCCGATGATTCAGATTTTTAAAAAAGAGTCACGGAAATATAAAATACATTTTAAAAATTTATAATTTACTTAAATTTATGAATATGTAAAATAAATCTAATACTTAAATAAAATCAAATCTTTTTCATACAGTACTTGCACAACACAATTTTTTTTACATAAATAACCTTGGTTTTATTCATCAACAATATCCGTAGATGGATGAGATAGAATTAAATTACATTTTACGGTGCGCCTCAAAATAATAAATACTCCAAGACGTTTCTTTTGGAGTATTTATTATTTTGAGGCGTACCTACTATTGTTTGAATCGGAGGTTGAGAACACTAGCATCTGACGCATGCGCAATGGCTTTAAACTGTCCGACAGCTGGCAATCGCTATCCTCGCCTGAATAGGTGTGTAACGCGCTAGCTCTCTTTCACTCTACTTTTAATGTTTACTTTATTTAACAGCCAGCAACCCTTATTTGCGGCCAGATTTAATTAGGCAACCGTATATAATAATGAACAGAAAAAAATTAGCTTTAATTTGATTTATAAAATATGAATGTACGTTGTGGGTGTATAAATGTAACAAAATCATACCTGTGTACACCTGGCTGCGAAGAGGTGCGGCCAGGTGCGCAACGGCAACCATGATTTTTCAGAGTCTTCATAGATGTTACCGTAAAATAGACGACATTTCATTGAAAAAACATGTCAGTGAAATTTCTTACGGATTATGAATTATTAATAATTTAATAAAAAATACTAGCGGCCACATTTTGATAGGCAACCTGGTAGATATAAATTCTCCTAATCATAAATATGTGAAAAAATTTGGTTTTCAGCAAACACTCGATGGGTACACTGATTCTGCAGCCGGATCTCGTACTATTGCTCTAATGTAATATTTAGCTTCTGGTTGGTCCCTTTTAATTGTCCAGCAGTAATCTGCCAACATATTTGGGCTCCATTTGCCCTGGAACCGCTTTATCATATTAGAAATTTCCTTATGGAACCTCTCACCGTACTCGTCACTGCCAGCCCCTAAATTGTCAAGAAAAACATCCGGGCCCAGGTTTTGTCTTGATGGGCAACAGAAAAACCAAAACATTAGCGATACCACTCCAACACAAGATTCGTAAAATTTCGTCGTTGTGTTTTGAATGTAAATTTTCCGCAGACATCATTCAGATCATTATTACACTTCCTCTTTATTCTCTGTTGTACATTTTAAAAATAACTTAACTTAAAATTATTTTTTTTGGTTTAATCGGTACGTGTACAATCAGGTTGTCCTTGGACATAGGCCTCCTCCAAATTGACCCATTGGTTCCTATCTGTGGCTGCTCGTCCCCAACTCTTGGGTAGATCGTCTTCCCATCTTTTGTATTGTCTACCTCTTCTACGTTTATCTGTATATCTTTTGTCCACTTGTTCCTCTTCGACCTCATGATATGCCCAGTCCATCTCCACTTCAGTGTTCTGGCCTTTCTGGTTATATCTACCACTTTCGTCCTTTTTCTTATTGCAGAGAGACGAACTTTGTCTTTTAGTTTGATATCTAACATACTTCTTTCGATTCCTTGTTGGCATACTTTTAACCTTTGTGTTGTATGTTTTGAGTAGGACCATGTTTGGCATCCATAGGTGAGTACTGGAAGTATGCAAGTGTCGAATACTTTCTTTTTGTGTAGGCTAGGCATATCATTGTTTTTCATTATTTGTTTCAGGGACCAGTATCGTGACCATGTGTTACTAGTTCTACGCTGTAGTTCTTTTTGCATTTGTAGTTCTGTTGCTATCACTTGTCCCAAATATATATATTCATCAACGTATTCAATAAGTTATTTTTTTATGAGAATATTTATTTTGGGACCATTGGTCATGACCTTGGTCTTTGTCAGGTTCATGGTTAACCCTGCTTTCTCACTTTCCTCCCCAAGTTTTATCAGCATGTGTTGAAGCACTGCTGGACATTCCGCAAACAATACAAGATCATCAGCAAACCGTAGATGGTATAATTTGGTACCATTGATGTTTATTCCCAGTTCTTCCCAATCTAGGTTTCTGAATATTTCCTCTAAAACTGCAGAAAACAGTGTAGGAGACAGAGGGTCCCCCTGTCTTACTCCCTTCTCTATTCTAAACTCTTCTCCAATTTTCTCTAGCTGAACGTTTGACGTACTTCTTCCATATATTTGCGAAATTATTTTTATGTATTTATGGTTAACCCCCTGTTTGTGGAGTGCTCTATATAAGAAATTGTGATCTAACGAGTCGAATGCCTTGCTATAATCAACGAAAGCCAAGTAGTATGATTTTCTGTATTCGTTGTATTTTTCAATTACTTGTTTCACTACGTGTATATTTATTTATTAAAAGGCTTACCAACAATTGTAACACTTAAGCAATTACAATTATTTAGTTACAAATAATTATAGGTAAACACCACATATACCATATCTATATCAAACAGTTTGTGTTAAAATTTTACCTAATATACCTTAACTTATATGTTATTTTGTCCAAAAAAGGGTCATTACAAAAACAAAGGATCTAAAATTAAAAATAAACTTCTCGGGCACTCAGGCCGTCAAGTTCCCGTTATTGTACTGGGACTATCAAAGTGTAAATCAATTTTATGACTAAAACCGTTCAAAATTTTACAAAATCTCGCATAAGGCGAGTTAGCGCCTAAAACAGTTCTTCTTAAAGGAGGGCAGAGTGGCATGATTGGCTTCCGAGGCATTCTAGAAGGAACACGCAAATTGACAAGATTTAACAGCTGTGGACATTGAATCTTGTTCCTCAAGATATTACTTAAAAATTTAGCATCCATGAGAGACCTCCGTTTTGCCAGAGAGGTCATTTTGAAAAAGCGCAGTCTATCCATATATGACTTGATTTTTTTGGCTTTGCCTACAGAATAAATTAAATGCCACAGAAATCTTTTTTGAATTCGTTCAAGGCGTAATGTATGCGTAGC